AAAAGGAAAATGAGCGGATTCCGGGAACCCAAGAGGCAAGCGAATTTTGGGAATAATGAGGGCAACAAATGTATAGATGTGCTTTACACAATTGACCTGTGTATTGTGATGAATTGTATGATCCCCAATAAATTGATTTTAAAAAAAAAGAAGGCAGCCAAGAAAGCAGGGGTGGGATTCAAATAATTTCACAACCAATTTGCTGCCCTAATGACTGCTTTAAGGGGGGGGGGGGGGAAGATAGCAAAAGATTATTTCATACAGTTAATACTTAAATAAGAACAATAAAAGAGATACACAAAAGTAGGTTATATTATAAGGAAGTTTTAAAATTTTAATGAAAAAATACCTGACAAAACAATAAAATTATTATTTGAGATATTCCCAGATTGCTACTTGATTGGCATCTTGATTTTGAAATCGTTTTTGCTTTTATCCGAGCATCATCACCTGTGTGCTTTATCCTTAACCATCTTTTCATGGTAAGCGTGGGATCCCATTCCTTTAGAGTAGGCCAATTAGACAATAATCATTGAGCTTGATATGTAAGAAACAGGCAACATGTCTTCTGTGAACATGTTATGTTCATCATTGAAAAATCCCTTTCCGCTTCTGCTGAACCTACAGCAATTGTTTTGACAATATTTTTAGCTCTTTGGACCCTTTCAGGAATTGCATAATTCATTCATAATTTGAATTTGAATTTCAGCACAAAGCTGAAACGAATAGCAATGTGTCACTCTGGTTGTTTGCCACTTTTTCTCTTCATGTTATATGTTAGGTTAGTGAAGTAATAAATGCAAGGGAAGAAAATTGTAGTATTTCATCAAACGTGTAATGAGTTAACAAGCATAATTCCGTGTAAATTTTTTATATCTATGGATGGAATCAACATTACTACGGACACTTAGAATAGATTGTTGCATAGATGAACATTAAAAAGAGTAAGAAATACACATTTGTGATTTCCACATTGGGCAGCTGCCAGCCTCCCAGCTTAGAGAGAACCACAAGTGGCATTTAACAACAGATTTGTCGAACTCAATGACAAATGAAGTGTCAGTTCTGCCAAACAGGTTTGAATCAGCTGAATCCCCACTAGCGGATACAAGTCTGATGCACACTTTCTCTCATTTTAAAACACATCACGTCACTTGTTCTGTTCAAACAACTGACTCTTGGCCTATGGACAGGTTCTACATGTTCACAATTATTATTTTGGAATTCCCATTTGCAATGCTGTCTATAATTTATTATGACCCACACAGTCAAATTCATTTGCATCGTCAGTAAACCTCTTTAGTATTCTTCACTTCCAGCCAAGATCCTCCTGTCATCAGCAGAGATATCCTTCATATCTTCTTCTGAATCGTCTTCAATTTCTAAGTTTTCTGTCAATGTACTGATGCAGCCGTTTTTTAATTATCTTCAAAAAATTTTACTCATCTATAATATTGATATTATTTGATAGCCTCAACATTCCATTGGATCACCTTTCTAACTTTCTAACACACCTTGCCATAGATGAGTGAACACTTCATCAATGCCAGGACTCCTGTTTTCTATCAAAGCTTTCAGTGAAGTTGCCCCTCCTCCAGTACCATTAGTTCTTCACCATATGCTACCTCCTAAATTGTTTGGTACATTGACTGTGTATTCCACCTCTTTTTTGCATATGAAATCCTTCAATATTGCAACTGAAGGCTCGATTATTAAGTTCTTTCATCTTGAGAAATGTCAAGCATGTATTTTCCTTTTGGTGTTTTAGCTCCACGTCTTTGCACATTTCATGATAATACTGTAACTGTCGTTGTAGGGGTGCCAGCCCCCCACCACTAATCATGGGTTCGATAGGCACAATTGTACAATTATTATATATAAATATCATAATAAAGTCATCAAGAGCATGAGAGATAGAAGAGAGACAGAAATAATGGAGTCAGACACATTTCATGGTAGCAATGCTCACCTTAGTCTCACTTGGTGGTCCACGTGGAGAGAGAGGGAGGGGAAGGAGTGTAGAGCTAAATTGCCCCCATGACTGGCTCCAGGATCTCGGGCAGGCTGTGGTTTCATGTTTCCTAGCAGTGTAAAGTAGGACGTACTAAGAAACTGAGGCTAGCCAACCCGGGAGTGGCACAGCGAGCCCATCCTCTGAGGGGAGGACAACACGGCCAGCACGGGAACTACACAAAGGACCAGACTGCCAAAGTACCTCAAATGAGCCAATCAGTGGATTGATGGGAAGGGGGGGCTGGGAACGCCCCTTTACGTATACCTGTAAATAAATACTTTGGAATTTCTTTTGTGGGGGCTCTTGTCCAAGATGGTGCATCAGTTAAGCACCTGAGGACTCAAGCCCTGGCTTAAGCTAGCATAATAAAGCCTCTTCTGTAATTGCAGCCTTGTGTTTGATCTCCTTCCATTGAAAGGGTAATTGCTCCAGATCCCTAACAGGAAGACAAGGGGAAAAGGGAACAGGGGAGCAAGGACGGGAGAGGAAAAGGAGCTGACCAGAGGCCAAGGTAGGACAGCCTGAGAGAGGTAAAGGAGGGGAACCTAAGAGAGAGCTCTTTATTGCTAACCCAGGCCTATATATATTGGGGGGCAGTGCAAGCCTACTAATTACAGGTAAAGACATTCTTCACAGGGGTTGCACTATACGTTATAAAGCAATGAGAGGGGGATAATCTAGGGATATACATGCAATAGGAAGAGGGGGGTTGGGGGCATACATGTGACAAGATGGGTGAATCCTAGCTAGATCCAGGATGGCAGCCTAACTTTGGATGTCAATGAGCTGGTTTGATCTGTTCTTTGATCTCCATAGAAACCATTATCTGTAGGGTGTAAACCCCACCTACAGGAACCAAGCTAATAGTCATAAGCCTTTTGGGAGAAGTAGCCCATTGTCCTTAACAACAGGGAGCGGGGGCCTACCTGTAGTCTGGCAACTGACTGCCTTCTGGTAGGATGTCTCTAAGCATCTGACCTCCCACCATAGGCTGGCAAAAAGCCCCTAATGTTTGGCATGT